TTTTGTTCTTAATCCTAACTACTTGCAGGTGGGCAATCAAGTATCAAATAGGAACACAGAAAAAAACTGAGAAAAAAGGCACAGTTGAGCTTGTGCAGTGATTATAACAAGCAAAAGAGTCCTACAACACACTTATGCTAAATGTTTGGTCTTCAATACAAGTGGTACAGAGCATTCATTCTTTTGCCATGTTTAAATTCCTTTGTTGGCAGAACACGATCTTCAATTCACAAGACACTCATCCATGGATAAACTGGGTTACATCTTGTTTGAATGAATACCATTTGGCTGCAGTTAAATCTTTCCTCTTGCTCATACAATGCCAATCACATATGGTAAATTAAAATTGAACAAAAAAATATGATGACTTCGCCACAGTTAGCATTTACATTTAGCATTACATATACAGAACAAAAGTATTTTCAAGAAAAAGTCATCTCCAAACAGCTCTGTCTTATGTGCTTCCTATATACCCATATGTACACACAGAGCATGGATTTATGTCTTTCATAAATATACACACATGCATGCACTGCATAAGTTAACAGAAGTTACTGACTACACTAGCATAAAATACAAAGTTGCCACTAATTTTCATACCAGAGATAACACATATATACAACTGCTATGAAAGCAAAATTATGCTGGAGGGATATAATATCTTGGCTGATTACTGTAGTTCATAACTGCAGAACAGCAATTGAATTATTTGGTTATTATCCAAAGAAATTTACTTCCTTCCCTCCCTTCATCCATCCCCCTCCCCCCCAAAAAAAACCAAAACAACAGTTGGTCAATGTTTTATCTACAAATTAAAGTAAAAATTAAAGTAAGCAACCAATGTAAAAATTGCCATGTTCCCCGGCAGTGACTGTTACAGTAAGAGCACGATTACTCTTTGTATTCAAGTTAGTAGACTGGGAACTATTAAATGAATTCTCTGTACGAAATCTCTTGGCACTCCTTGGACTGGATACAGTGAAAGGAGAATTCACAGTGCCAACTCTGGCTGCAAAGTTGTGCCCAGGCTGAGTTCCTAAAGCCAGGAATTCTGTTAAGCACTATTCAGGAATACCATAGCAGCAGATTCCATCCGAGCTGGCCTTCAGCCATGGCTAACAAGCTCAGACACACTTCAGTGGATTTCACGCAGCCAGCACTGCCCCCTCCCTTCTACATCCCAAAGAACACTTCATGCCTCGTGTCAGGTGTATGGCAGGTGCACTCTTCCAGCACAGCAGGGTTAGTCCTGCTCACACAATCTCATGCATCCCTATTCCTTTACTTCCATTCCATTTATGCTGTTTCTTCTCACTATTTTTTCCAATGCAATTTTCCCATGGGATTAATGCACAAGCAACACTGCTTTTTGAAAATTCACTGCTGTTAAGTATTGAGAGAAATGCTGAAAAGGCTCGAGAGGTTTGTTATCTTTTCATCATTTTTGCACTTGGAAATAATGCTATCAATTTGATCAGGTCAGTACATCTAACTGCCACTTATCTCAGATTTTTAAAACTCTTTAAATCTTATTGAAATTACTATAAGGGCTTTCTAACCATTAATAAAAAACTAAAATGGGTCAGAGTTGGTATTAGCAATTTTTGCATTCACTGTTTCAAAAACTTTAACAAAACAAATACATTAGTGATGGGTTTAAACTTAATCAAGAATCAATTGAACTACAGTATAAATATTGACCATTGCAATGCTCTTGCATAATACTGCTAGTTGCACTTATTTGATTGCTTCAAAGCCCACCATCTATGGGATTATGTCTAAGAGGTTGATGGACAACTTTTGTCCACCCATTCTTCCAGTGTCTTTGTTTCTTTTCCCCACCACCCTATATTTCTCCTTTTCTTCATCCTCAATACTAGATTTCATTTCTACTCTTATTTTAAAACTAAAAGTGAAATAGAAAGAAATCTTCCCAAAAGTAATTTAATCTAGCTGCCTGCAGAATTTGAAACATACTTATTTAAGAAAGCAGATGCTGATAGATGTTAATGCTACTGTGAATAGCTGTCGACTATATTTTAGAGAGCTCTTCCAGTTAAATACAACAGCCCTCCCCAGTTCCCAATACTGCCTTGAGGAGAGAGAGAAAAAAAAGTTCTAAGATATTTCTTGCACACCGTTTTTTTGTTTTTAGGTTAACTTTGAAGTAGAAGGACACTACTTCTCTGGAAGCCCACCTAGGAAACCAGTGCTGATTCAACATCATCTTGGTATTCAAGAAAACAGAATCATTACCTTCAATTCTCCCTGTTAAAAACAATGCCTTCTATCTAGATTTACTCCTCATTACAAAATGTGGGATGTGGGGAGTGAGTTGATTAAACAGAGCAGGCTGGAATCCAGCGCTACTTTCCATGTCTCAAGAAAGCTTCCTAGTACATGTCTCAGTTCTCCCAGGAAATTAACTTCTATTAGCAGATCTGCTGAAATCAACAGATGTTTGTCTTTTGGAAGCTATAAGATATTTCTCTTCCCATCCAAACTACTATAGAAATTCAGGCTATATGATTGTGTGGGACCTACTACAGTAACAAACCTTTCCATGTATAGCTAGAAAGATCTACGGAACATCACTTTCCCCACACAACTGGCCTTCCAAACAATGAAGAGCCTTGCATCAAGTTGAAGGCCTGCAGAACAGAACTCAAAAAGAAACAAACAACAAAACAAACAAACAAAAAAAAAAAAACCAGGCGAAATCAAGCATTACGGACTTCCTACCTCCCTACTGGGGAGTTCACTAAAACAAACTTTAGAGGATGTGCCCAGTACAGAAGAGGGGGGGAAAAAATGACAGCAGACCTTTCGAGTTTTCTAATCTCTACATTCCCTTCCTCGGCATTTCGGATATTGGCAATATGCTGTTTGTTCAGCCAAGCAATGAATTGCCTTCCAGCATCAATTTTGGTATGGTATTTACTGTGCACAAGTATAGACAAGACCTCCATAATTCACAGTTTCATGTCTGTGCTTGGTAACTGGAAAAACCTTCCTAACTTAAGAAGGGTGTAGATTCTCCCAGCTTTCATGGAATCTTCTTGAAAAGCCAAGTAAGTGGAAGGTTTTCCTGAGAGCAATTCAAGCAATTTTCTAGTCATGAAATTTTTCTACAGGTGAATTACGGTCCTTAAAATGCTTTCTCAATGCATGTAAATACTCTCCCAATACTAAAAACATGTTTGATCCTTGAATAAAGAGATGGAACTCTACTTAGAACAGTACTGCCAATCTTCTGGCAGATTTATCAGCAAATTTTCCTAAGAGCTGAGGATGAGAAAGAATGACAAATCTCCATTACTATGCTGTCTTTCCTTCTTAAAGAATCACCTCTATCTTCTAGATGACAGTTGCATGGATCTGGCTTTGTTTAGAGGAAGTCTAAAAGAGAATGCTAACAAGGATAGTGTTTCACTTAAAGACTCTGCTGTGTTTTAAAAGAAAGGGGAAGAAGAGAGAAAATCTCCTTTCTTGTTTAAGGCTGATAAGACAAAGAAAATAGTATCAGCATGAACAACAATAGCAACCATAATACTGCAGGATTTATCTGGATTGTAGTTTTGTCACTTCCAAATCAAGAAGAGTGAGAAACATCTTGCAAAACCTTTCACTTGAAGGTTGCTAAAAAGATGCAGTCCCTTTTGAAGGAAATCATGCAGTGTTGCTGCAACTGATACACCTCTTCATAAGCACCACTGCACTCTTAATTGTAGAATCTTGTTGAGGGTTTTATCCAGGTTAAAGAACCTGAACTAGAAACAGATACACACTGGGACCAGACACTTTTCCAAAACTGGGGCACAGCAGACCTTGAATCTAGAGAAATAATAGATTTACTACAAACCAGAGAAACTCCTCTTTGTTTCTATGACCTGTGTAAATTACAAATACTATAGCTATTGCAATTACAAAGCTAACTGAATGCTTTCAAGTTAATAATAGCATTAGGGCATGCAATCAAATAGTGAAATGGAATGAAAGATAGAAAATGCAGATTAGAAAACTAACATTGACCATCAAAATCCAGAACACAAAAGCCACAGAAAGGAGTTAGAAAAATTGCAACAGAAAACCCAGTGAGTTTTAAGGTTGTGTGCATTTAGCTTTGCACTTAATGTGCCAGCATCCACTGTTTCCCATAGTATCTGTACTTGTGTTATTGTTAGAGAATAAAAGATAGTTGGACATTTTAGTGTATTTTTTGAATATTTCTCATTGAACTCACAAACATGTTTGTGTTTATCATTTAGATCCTACTGAAGTGTGATAGTTTCTAACATTGTACTCACTCTGTTATGAATCTGTACAACTGAAAGAAATAACAGGTCAAGTAAAATATGCAATAATACTTAAAACAGATGTTGATGTAAATTCCAGTGGAAAGAAAATATTTGTTTCAATGTATGCACTTTCTTACAGCTTATTTTTCTTACATTGTGCAACTGCAGTATTTAAAAGCAGAAACTATTAAGACTAAATTTGCTTAAAAAACAGTAAGAAGTTGTTCCATAAAATCTTGTAAAAGAACTGAGTGTCCTGACTTTTAAAAAATCATGCTCCTAAGACACAAAAAATTACTAACTATATGGGAAAGGAAAGGAAGAATAACCAATCCTTTATCTCACTTCCATTATAAGTTTCTTCATACTAATGCAGTCCAACTTATATAAACTGTTGAGCCAATTCTGCACTATTTCAACAGGAAAAGAACACTCTTCTACCTTTGAAATTTTATATATCAAAACATTAATTGGGCTCAGTGCTTTGAAAACAAAGTCATAGGATTTAGGAATAATTGTTGCTGCTGTTAAAGCTTTTTGTTTCAGCTGCTATAGTTACCTATTTTCCTTTTGATACAATGCAATCAAGTAGCTATTGTGTCCTGGAGAAATGCATCCTCTAGTCACAACACTGAAACAAAATGCTATTTTATAAGGTTAGAGATCAAGAATATGATTTCTTTTCCAGGTTAACAGACTTACATGATTTTCTGTTGGAAATTTTCAGTGGCTGAATCTGCACTTCTGGTCTTCTTAGTGCAAATCTCCTATAAAATGGGAGGTGGTAGGATAAAGACACAAACCCCTTAGTTTTCACTGCAAATTTGGGATTAATAAACACTTAACATCATGAGACTATTGCAAAATATCCCGAAGACTTCATAAGAAATTAACTTTAAACAACGCAACCTTCTTACAATGTAAAAATTAAATTCTGAGCCTCAAATTTTTGTAAGCTCTCCAAAATCAGTGCAGTTCCTATTTCTGCACGGCACATCAGTGTGAATACAGATACTGATGTGCTATTTTCCATATGTTTTTTCTTTCAATCTGGAGCAGTGTTATCCTACCAGTTTTTGTCATTATTAGTTGTAGCCAGACTAATAAGGAAATCCAAAGTATTTCAACAACAGGTTTCCAAGTTCAATTGTCTTGCTATAAATGCAGGTTTATCATGACCTTGTAATCTATGACCATACATATGACAACTATGCTTACTTAACCACTTGGAAAATAAGTTATTTCTTACTATAAAAGATAATGGAACTATGTTTCTCAGTAGCTCACCTCTCCTGGAAATGCTTTGAAGGGATCAAGCCTGCTCTGGGATTGGCATCACCTTCGTGTTTGGCCTGCCACCAGGTTGCATCATCCTGGCTCATGATCTGAAGTATATCTCCTTTTCTGAAAGCAAGCCCAGCTTCTTTACAAGGAATTGCTTTATCCTCATTAGGATCATAGTCAAATAGGGCTCTGATAAACATCTGAAACAAACATTGCTTTTTCCTTAGAATCAAAGTATTAACACGTAATCCAAAGGTATCTTCTGTTTTTGCTTTCACTGTTCAAAAACATTGCACTAAATAACGTAATGCAATAAAAATTTACTGCTGTAAATCATCCTCATGGAAGTTTAACATCAGAAGTTAATAAAGAAATGTTTTATTCATTGCTCCTACAAACACAATCCCTATGTAGTAAAGGCTGCAAGATCCAACTCCCAAAATTAAAGAGAACTTCAGACTTTCCAGGGAACAGTGTGCTCATGTGAGCAAGAGAAAACACTTTTGAACTAAGGTGCTATGAAGTGCCTTTTGCCCACTGTACGATAGGAGGAATACTTGGAGGGAAGTCAGGTGCTCACAGAAGACTGAGAATTACGTACGCCAACTTCTTCGCTGCAGAGTTGGGGCTTAAGAACCTTGTTGCACTCACCTGTAGATCTAGTACATCAGTATCACATTAATAAAACAGATGACTGTGGCATAAGAGAAGTTTTTGGTTCTGCCACCTAAGCAAACAGTGCTGATCCTCAGCAATGATGTTTACTGCATTTACCTTGTGAAATATTCTTGAATATTTGCCTACCTTGCCTTCCTTTGATGGTGTTTCTTCCTTTACACTGGGTATAATTTTAAATGTAATTGCTCCTTGAGACTGAGCCTGTTGAGCATTTAAAAAGATAATGCACAAAGAATTAAAATGGCATTTTTCAAAGAAAAATTAAAGGAAAAGAAAATTCAAATTAATTAAAAAATACTCAAAATACAATGAGTCTTTCCTCTCTCCAAATATTACTGATGGAATTTGACAGCTTCACCATGCAGAACTTTGAACTGCGAAAATTCCAAGTGAACACTGATGGGCAGAGGTGGACTGCTAAAGTCTGGCACCTGCATGTTTTGGAGATTCCACTTCTTCACTGAAAGCAGGAGCAAATGCTACAGCTAAAATATACACATATTAGAAGCTGCTGCTGGACTCCTGGCACAGTTTGAACATCTCTGGAAAAATCTAACTAACATTTCATTTTTCAGAAAAACCTGATAGAAAAATTCAGATACGTTTGTGCCATATTTATCATATAAAACTATTGGGGGGATTTATTCTTTTGGCAAGTAAAAGAAACTAGAAAAGAAAAATATTTTTGAATAGGCTAAACGTACTAAATGGAAAAAAAGCCCTCCACTATAAATCTTAAAACAAGTTAGCCATCATCAACCACCTCATCCATTCATCTTTCCCTGTATCCCTCTTTAAGTGTGTCTGGCTACATTTTACTTATTAACCACAATATATTCCCACTGCCTCCGTGACATTTTGCCATTGAAGGAAGTGCTAATCAGCTGGAGACTCTGCTACTATTGCATGCAGCCGACAAGTTTCATAAAACTCACAGAGTGCAACAGACAGCCAACGATTTAAGCAAAATGGAAACAGGCCTGTCCACTACCAAGTGAGACATACTTCTGCCTGCATGTCTGCGATCCAAGAGCTCACTGTTTGACAAACAGCAGCCAAGTTCTTATTTCACCAGCCACAGGGCTGGAATCAATAATTCTGCTACTTTTGAAACAAGCTCTAACTAGCTTTTGATGTTTATATTGTACCTCAAGGAGGTAAATGAGGAAATTGTTCACACCTTTTGTAGTGCTATTGTATTTCTAGAGATTTTTAAATATTAATTTTTGAAGGAAAATATGTTTCTGTAGGGAATGCAAAACCATAAAGCAAATACGAATATCACTGAGCTAACACTTGAAATGGATCATCTTGGTTATTGAATCACAAGAAACTGCCATTCATCATAGTAGGACAGCAGCGTATGTATATAGAATTGAGTACACCATAAAGAGCTGTCATGACCCTCATCAGTTTATTTGGTGTAAAAATATTAAATATTACTGGAAGAATCAAAATTACTTAATTTGCAGTAGTGATGCTTAAGTGAGTGAACAGGTTGGCTTTAGAGACTATGTTCACATATATCATATATAAATCTTAAGAGTATGATTTACAAAGCATACTCTTAATACACTATCTATTTTTCTATCAAGCATACATAATATGAATTCATCTTCCCTTGAAGTTAATGAATTAGAAATTAGTAAATTTAAACATTTGAATCCAACAGATCATTATGTGTCTTACAAAATTCAGGTGATACATTGAGGTCTGCAACATATTTACAGCCACGTGGTCTCCACTAACTCCTCACAAGTCATTTGTTATTGCTCATATCTGATTTTTTTTTTTTTCAAGAGAAAAAGAGGTTTGTGAACGATTATACTAGAAGAAAATGCTCTACTGTAACACAAACTATTTACTAAGACACATCAGAAATTTTAAGTATAATCACTTGACTCTGCTGAATTAATTTTAAAATGATTGTTATTTACCAAAATATGTATTATTTCTTCAGGTTTTTTATCATCTACAGGAATCCCATTGACTTCCCTGAGTTCATCACCAACATGAATAAGACCTACAGAGGCAAAAATGAGTAGTTAAATGGTAGCTGTGTATAACACAAAAAGTGCTGTCAACACTCAGTTTTTTCCTTCAAGTTCTTCCTTAAAAGCAGGGATATATGGCGAACACAACTACAGCTACTGTCCCCATAGATAAGCTTGAGACTGTTGATTTACTCACCTCCCTTCCTTCCTCCCCAAAATTAGTATGATTCCTCTATGACTTTTCCAGACTTTTATGCAGATGTTTGAAAAATACCCGTGCCAATTCTTTTTCTACTCATACTACTTGTTGCTACACAGCTGCAAATACTGCAAAGATGACTTAAGCTGTGAGTGCTAATTTGTGGTACAAATGTTTCCTAATTTAATGATATTTATACAGATTTACTTCACTATCCCATCTAAGTGGGAAACATGGCTCCCTCATGGCTCTCCTAAATGAAAAGAGATACATTAGAAGTATAATACAGGATCTCCTGCTTGAGTTCTTGAAGATTTTGAGGACCTGAAGATAAACACTGGATCCAGGGGTGGTCTGGTATTTTGATGATTACTCCAAAAGGACGCACTAATATAAATAATGCAGCCATCCTGAGTTCCTCCATCAGTAGGTTGTAATATTGACTTGTCACATCCCTTCTAAGAGGAATCCTTCAACTGAAAACAAACCATGATAAATCTCCAAACAAGCAAACAACACCCCAAAAATCCCAACTTTCTCCATCTTCTAACTCAGACACCTAATTGCCAGAGAATTCAGGAAAAAAAATCTGCACAAATACTTTCATCAGTATCACTTTGAAAAATTATTCAAGCCTCAATTTTTTTTTTTTGATAGTGATGTATTTAATGGGAACAAAACAATCCCATTTTACCACATCTTCTACATTTTATAACAGGAATGGCTTGTGCCAAGAAGCAGCACCTTACCACTTCTATCTGCAGCTCCTCCACGCATTATCCTTGCCACCACAATCGCACCAGTGTGTTCATCCCTTTTAATAGTAGCCCCCTTTAAAAGAAAAAGGTTGCTCGGTTAGCTCAACCATAATTTAAACTTCCTGCAGTGAAAAATACTTGCTATGCAAAAATGCAAAAAGTTGATACAATACCTATGCATGAATAAGCCAGAAGTGATACTCATGTAAAGAATTACAAAATACATTGCTCTGTTACCAACCTATTAAAATGTGTCCTTTCTTTATTTTAGTGGTGAATTCATTATGCAAACTGCTTTAAAAAAGCACAAATGATATAAAAAGTTTACTTACCAATTCAACGTTAACTGTAACTGTAGGCTATTTGAGTCTGCTGCTAAAATTGTGCTAAACTATTGCTGAGAATTGACAAGCTATGCCTGTAGTAAGGGGCTTCTTACCTACTATGGTTACAAAATGTTTGCCTGTGCTCCTAATAGTTGCACTTCACACTTAGAACTGCCCATGCAGGCACTAATCTATACTTTGCTTTACAGTGTTATCAATAAACCTGAAAAATGCTTTGTAATCAGAACTGTAGGGGTTTTCCAAAAAGAGGCTCAAAGTGATGAGTAGGAATCAGGCAGTGGTAGACAGGAAGGAATTAAAGGGCACCAGAGCTTGGAACTGCTATTTAAGAGGCAGTGGCGCTTCTTTGAAGCACAGCAGAGGCAGTGAGGTGAGCAGATAGTGGCCCTTCTCTGCAGGACCGAATCCCCACAATGAAGCAGATGACTGTAGCTATAAAAGTCGTACTGTATAATCATTTCCAAGACAGTTACCCGATCTAGGTTTTTCAAAATCAACACCAAAAAAGCACCTCCTGGCCACCAGTTTTCTTTCTGCACGTGACCACTTGCCATGTTAATGTAGTCAGCTACCTGCAACAGCTCTAACACTGTTCATCAACAAATGTTTATAAAGAATTCACTGATTAGTACTACATCACAGCAGTGGTACCTGCACACTGCCACCACTGATCAGCATTTCTTCCATCAAAGGAGGGTTATGATTGAAATAAGACAAACAAGTATTTCAAGTTCTTTAACTAAATAAATTGCTTTTATATGTAGCTTTCTATATTTGATTAAACATGGGTATTACATCTAGCATTACTTCATTTTTAAAGTATTTCATGAACATAAAGCTGAAATATGTACAAGTGATGGGGATGACATTTTACTGCAGTTAACACTTTTACCAACTGTAAAAAGAAAATCTTCCTTCCCCTCTGCCTCTAAGATGTAAACATGACACACTACATGAAAAATGGGAGATCAATTTATTTTTAATATACACAAGCTGCTTTTTCTGCAACTAGGAAAAAACTGCCTCAGAAAAATTAATATTGTCACTAAATCATTATCTTTTGTTGAAGCTTTAAAAGTCCAGAGCAACGTTTACACGCTAATTCTGCGCATTTTATTTTACATCCAAAGTTGTTTTGTATGAAACTTCACCAGTAAGCAAAGTAATCCTGCAATTTGTCAAGCTTATTCTTGTGCCCTGCATATAGTGTTGGTATTTTTAGGCATTTGTTTGTGTGCCTTACTATGATCTCTATTTTAAATTAGACGGCGCTTCAGAAAAAATAAGATGTGGTTGCAGCCATTCTCACTGTAAAAATTCATTATTAGACTTTGAGCAAAATAATAGAGCAGTATTACGAATGTATAAGCACAGCATTAACGCCACTAGGCTATGCCTCAATATTAAGCTCTGACTTTGCAGCAACAGCAATTAATTTAGTTTATTATTAAAACCTGTAAAGCTGCACCTGTTGAAATGTACATTTTTATTTTTATTATATCCTTCAAAAAGAAAAAAGCATTAGGATGCAACAACCAAATATAAACAGAACTTCTACACTATATTGTCCACACAAAGCAGAGGCTCCCTCATTCATCAGTTAAAAAGCCCTGAACAGAGACTCCATGCTATTCACTTGGAAGTTGATACTGTTAAACTTCATCTGTGTTTAACTTCAACTATCTATCTGTGTAAAAAGTTGATTTCCCTCCTGTTTATAATCCCCTTTTAAATGTTGGAAAGCTGCAGTGAGATCTCCCCACAGTCTTCTCTGCTCCAGGTTGAACAAGCCCAGCTCTTTAAGCCTGTCTTCATAGGAGAGGTGCTCCAGCCCTCAGAACACCTTTGCAGCTCTCCTCTGGAGAATACGCTGGCATAGATTGGCTGATTTGAAAGATGTCCCAGTAAAGGTAGTTTGGGATTTTCCACACTAAGCACACAATCAAGCCAGAAATTATTTAATCCTGGCTCCGTAACTGTTAAAGACTCCTTTACTGCAATCTCAAAGTGAAAGGCTAGACCCATAGCACTGTCTGAGTTCATGTATGTTTGCTGTACCTACAGAACAGAAAGAAAAAAGGGAGTTGTTTAACCTCCTCTTCACTCTAAATCTGGAATACTTAAAAAGAAATCACCAAACAAATGGATTTCTTTTTGAGCACTTGAAGAGTTGTTATTTTGAAAAAGCAGCTTCCATTATGCTGCTGCCAGCCCTACTTAAATTACGAGGTATATATAATCTGGCAGGAATTTCTCCTTATGAGATGTTCAGCCCCAGTACTTGCAGTTACATGTGCAGTGCAGCTCCTCATTTAGAGCTTCAAAAATGGAAGAAGGTTGGGTTGGACCTCGAGAGCTGGAAAATATTTTCAGTGTTGCTTGCCAAAAATGTAAGTTACCCTAAATGAGACATATACAGATGTAATAGCATAGCTCAGTTTAAAATACTTTTAAAGGGAAAAATAAGGAGTTAGGGAGCCGTATGGTGATCAGACTGAGAAAACGTTTAAAGGTATACTATGCAAAAGCACTAAAAATAATACAAGGTCCTTCAGCAGGGAAGAAGATTGCTTTTATGTAGAAGCACTGATTGGTGAGCACCACTCAGGTGTTTCACAATTGCGAGCTTTAACAACTAAGCCATTTATCTGATGGTTCCAGAATAGAGACATTTTAAGCCTCTATTTTTCAAGAAAAAAACCAGCTATTATATAAAGTAACTTACTAATAAAAGAGTATGAAGTATCAGGTTTTTTTTTACATGCTTTTCTGTTAAACAAAAACGTATGCAGATGTTGAGTGTAAAGAAGTACTTCAATAAGGTCTATTTTAATTCATTCTTCATTTAGGATGTAAATGAAGACATCAGTTACCCATCTGATAGTGCACAGTTATTTAAAAGTTGATGCCTGTGCATATTAGACCATGCACACTAAGGCTGTCCCTGAACCCAAACTAATACTACAAAAAAACATGAATGGGTTGATTCAATAACAAGAACTGAACTGTAGGGGTTTAGAGGAAAAGGCACAGAGAAAGAGCTGGGGAATCTGCATCAACAAACATGTGATAATTTCTAATCACTTCAATTTGTTTCACCCAAATTCAGCTATGGAAATCAGATATCTAGTTCAAGCTAGGAGTCAAGGCTACTGCTGTAGTTAATGAAAACAAATAGGCAGCTCCAAAGAATGAATTAATCATTCTTTCATTAGGACATGTATCTTAAATAGAAGGAATGCTTTATTCTCTTGACTGTAGAATATAGTCCTAGAGAAGTGGACTTTGGCATAAGTAAAAATCTTCCACACTATCTGACAAAAAGCCTAATTGCAATCTGGTGATTTTTGGACAATCTCTGGGAAAAAAAAAGATCTCTCTACTTCTCTCTATTTAAGATTCTGAGAGATTCTATAATTACTTTGTTCAGACAAAACCTCCTAACACACGCTCTCACCTCACTTGAGTAAGAAGCTCTTTGAACAGCATTTGCTAAGAGCGCATTTAGAAACAACAACGACAACAAAATTTGCAGATGGATGAACCAAAGTTTAAATTATCTCTCACAAAAGAATGACTTCTGACCTGAAGAAATCTGGCAAACGCAAGGCCCTCCCACAAAACCTGTTTCTCTCTCTTGTGAGATGATTACTTCTGGGGACTCAGGCTTCATTAATATGTGATTAACACTGGTGGGTTGCTAAACTCAGAGAAAAGCACAAAGGAAATGTGATTCAGCTTTACATAAAAAGGTCACTAGATATACTCCAAAGAAGCTCAAAGTGTGCCTAATTCACTTCACAGAGCACTGCTGAAAGTAATCCAAAGGAGATATTCAAAGTTAAGAACTTCCAGGACTTGCAGCTGACGTAAAGCTTACTCCATTGCAGAAAAACAATCTCTGCTACTTGCTTACAAACAGAATGAGAATGTATCCGAGGTGAAAGTAAGTTCAAAGAGCTCAGTATCTTCTAGTCAAGAAATCAGGTAATCTCCATCCCAGAAAAAATACTGTATGGTTGCACTCAAGTTCAGCAGCAAGTATTCTGATACATTTATGCAAGTGAAGGTTGTCTTTATGACTGGAAAAGTGTGACTAGCTAAATTGAACAAGCAGAGACTCATTGATCTGAACTCAGCCAGGAATGTGCAAGACCTCAAAACAAGCTCTGAAGGAAAAGCAATTAAAAAGGCAATTAAATAGAAAACAAAATTTTAAAGGGCATACCATGGCATATCCTTTCTTTAGTAAAGCAACTACAGGAAACATAAATGCAGTGGTTCTAATATGCCGAGTAAAAACCTGTATTCAATTCTTCTGCCATGCTGTATTCTGTTAAGACCTTAATCACAACATGTTGCTTCTCACCCATACTTGAGGAAAAAAATAATAATCAAACAAACAAGTTTGGTATGTACTGCGGTAATGCTATCAAAACAATAAGTGAGCATAAATCTGCATCACATAAATTAGCAGCAGACATCAACATTAATATAAAAATGGAATGAAGGGGAATTATTGAAGAGGAGGAGGAAGACAATATCCTCTTGGAAGTCTTCTTGGAGAATAAGCAACATGTAAAACAGAACTCACCACAAGCTGTTCTCCAACAAAGATAAAACAGCAAGATAGGTTAGGGATTTGGAGAGTTCACAAGTGCTCCTTTCTCATGCAGTTGATGTTCAACCTTAGAAAGGTTAACTGAGGGGAAGCTTTAGAAGTCGTTTAGGCCAGCATCCTGCATACCTCCTGCTCAGAGCAGGACTACTGTCAATGCAAGATGAGGTCAGCCATTGCCTTCCGACAACAGGCTGAAGATGCTACAAAGTCTCTGGCCAGCCTCCTCCAGTGCTGCATCTCCAACTGAAAGAAATTTAAGAATTTTTCTTAATACTCAGTAAACATCCTAGGGCTGCATCTTGTGGTCACTGCCTCATGTCCTGGCATCTTTCACTGGTAAGAAGAGTTTGACTCTAATGCTCTCTAATGTTCCTTACTCTCAAGTAGCTGTGGGCTGCAATTAGCTTCTTTCTACAGACGTAACAAAGTAGAAGTTACGGATGCCATTACAAGGCTGTTCTCATGTTGATAATTAAACCAAACAATCTGATAAGAAAGGAAAGCCAGATTGGATGGGGCCCTGGGCAGTCTGGTCTAGCATTAGGTGGAATGGTGGTGGCCCTGCATGTGGCAGGGGGGTTGGAGATTCATGATCCTTGAGGTCCCTTCCAACCCTGGCAATTCTGTGATTCTGTGATTCTGTGAACTGAGCTCTCCCACGTGCTCATTTCATATTGTATTTTCTGATTTCAGAATAAATATTCTGACACTAACGCAAGTTTATTATTATTATTCAAATAATTTCTTAAATTTAAAAAAATGCTTGAAATTATTGAAGCTATAATTTAAATATTTTGAGGGGAGAAAAAAGAAAAAAAAAGTTTAAAATGTTAAAACAAACCAAAAACTTTCCATGTGGTCAAACTTATAATTACGTCCACAGGCATCCACAGTCAATCAAAAATAAAACTTTTTTCTTTTTTATTGATGCCACAAACCCATCAAGTGTGATGGTAAGATCTACTGACATGCCATCCCTCTATATCTAACAGAGAAATCGCACTCTGTGCCATTTCAAGTGCAGAATCGTGGCTTTCTCAAAGTAATTTTGCAGGTATCTCTTCAAGATTGCAATCCATCACAACAAATACCCAGTATAACACAAAGCAAAGCCCTTACTGTTTTGCAGGGAACAAGAACACAGGTAAATTTTATTCAAAATTACTCCCACACTACAGAAAATAAAAACAACCAAATAAGTAAAACATTTTAATATTCTTGTAATACAATCTAGTTTTAGTCCTTGCATTTTTCCAGATATCCCCATGAAGATATTAACTTTCTAGTATTCATAATCCAAAGTACAACAACAGACATCTTAAATTTGCCCAGATTTCAATTCAAGCATTTTAAAATATGTTTTTATGCTTTCCTTTCAGTGTATCAAAAGGTCATTTATTTTTATTTTTATTTTTTTAAAACACAGGCACAGTTCATAACCAAGGTCACGATTTCTTTGGGGATTCATTCTCCCTCTCTCATTTTGAAACAAGTTCATGATTCAAATTCAAGATAAAGGATGAATATATTACTTATGTAAGTGCCCAGGTTGGCCCACATCTAAATAATGCTGAGACACCATGAATGAGCAAATTCTTACTATTCATTTCACGTACTTTACTAATAATAACCGAGAACGGAATTCACATGTATATTACTGAATGTCATGAATAAATGTGAACAATGTCCATTCACATTAATAATGTTATAATTCATATTTATAAAGTGAACACTCTGCACACACAGAAAAAAAAACAACAATAGAGAGGAAAACTTACCAATGGTTCCCTGTTTTTGACAAGTCTGATTATTTTAACTGAATCTTCTTCCTCATCAATATCATCAGGCATGGGAGGCAAGACAGGATCGTAGTTCTTCTGAGCAACAGTATCATGTACAGAGAGCAAAGCCTGGAAATATTAGGAGTCATGTTATTTGGTATCAGAAAATTCATAAAAGACAAAGCAGAGGCTATTATTTATAGCCTGACTCAATCAGCATGACGCAAATAGATTGAATATAATTTTTCTCTATGATTTTAACATACGTGAATGGCGATAAAACAATTCCATAGGGTATATATTTTCATACACACAACGTATGCATCTAGTAAACCATGGATGCAGTTATACACGTGAAAATATTGAGCGCTTTGCACATTAGCTGAAATTACAATTATTGCGGCTAGGAAAAAAACTAAGTTGCCTAAAGTAAGTAAGAACGTAATTCCACTCCTCCTCAATAAAAGTTTCTTCAGTACACTAAGCTGTCCTATGAATCAAATAAGCAAAATAAGAACCTTCCTGCATCTGTTCAAGTATCAGGTGCATGGCATTAAGCTATTGCCGTTCCCTTCAGAGGAACTCTGGAAGCTGACTTGGTTACTGGATCCCTTTCATGCTTACTCCCTTTCATACGTGCTCCAAATTATCCCAAGAATGTTTAATTTATTGTGGAATTCATGGCCGAGATTGAGGAACGCAGTACTCAAGCGATTTGGCTTACCAACCACCTGTCACATCTTGCCCCCTTTTCTTCTCTTTGTAGTTTCTCCAGTTCACGCATGGATTGGCCAATAGATTTATTAAACTTTGTTGTGACAAAAGGCTCAATCTTAACAACAAAATAATTTATGACCTTGCCAGAAACTCAAGAGTCTTGAAATCAAAGGAAGTTGGAAAGCTCATTCTCCTAAGGCTTAAAAAAATCTCTGTTATAATCCAAAATTCATTTCTCTTTCTAGATACAGAGCTCTTTTAAGTTCTTTTCCATTTCAAAAAGCCTACAGGATCTGTAGCATCTCTTAAACAGGTGAAAAATGGTTATATAATGCTTTTTCTTCTGAAATGGAAACTATGCAATAGCGGGAATCACAGCAACTGCCACACTTAGAACTGTAGCTACTGCTTTCAGTTGCTCCTGTTTTCAAGTATTTGCCCATCAGAACCTGAATATTTTACATTTTGACCTGACATTTTTGCCCAAAGAGTCAATATTACTAAAGTTATAGTCAGAAACCAAAAGTAATTTGCACAATGATAACCTTACCTACCATAAAAATGAAGTGTTTTGGAAAACGTTGTGATGTTAAAGATTATGTAGAACAGATCAACCTTGATGACATGAAAAACTATCACGTCAGTGACTGTTATAATTGTTCCTTTAGATTCATTATAACAATAAAGAAGAAACACCTTAATAAATTAGAACAGAAAACAGCCACATTTCTCTGATGCAAGTTTACTTCCTATAAAGATAACATCAGACTGAATATATAAATCATGTGATATACTACGTTCTGAAGGATAATTCAAATTCTTTAAAAAGCACATTACGCTTTCCTTGTACTATTCCAGGACGTTTTTACTGACTAAAGGAGACTGAAAACAACTTCCAGACAATGCTACATGCTATCCTGACACAAGCAGATGAGAAAGAGTGCACGGCAACCCTGAAATTCTGCAGTTTCTATATGAAGTCAAGTCTTTAGCACAATAAACAGAAGGTGATCATGCCTGCTTCATGAAAATTTGCTATTATTGCCTTACTTATTTCTATTCATATTGTACAATTTGATAGCAACGATGTTAAAATGTTTATTTCTATTTTTCCTCCCAAGATACAGTTATCAACTTGAACTGTGTACCACTGCTACCTACTAGCTCTCTCTCACCATAGATTAGTTTTCCTTCAGGACTCACCTAAAAACCTCTGGCTAGCAATTATGGTTCCTTGTGGAAATGTGTACTGTGAAGCATTACAGTTGTAAAGTCTATGTAATCACACGCGGTGTTCTGACGATGTATGTGAAACATCAAAGAAACACTAAAACAAAAGTAGCGTTTGCTTCTACTTTGAGCTACTTATAGTTCAGACTTCTAAAACTTCTATTCTGCAACTACATTTTTCCACATAAAACTAGGGCACATTCACAGACTGGTTCAGCTTAATGAGGTTCTATATTGCAGTTTAAAATCAATCAAGCAGATAGAGAAAACAGATGAAACTAATCTAAAGTACCATTTCCATAGTAAAGGGCAGCAACTTATAACATGCTCAATAGAAACTACCCTTGACAATGAAACTTGAAAACCCAGGTCCAACCAATACCAAACAGAACAATGCTATCAGTGTTAATAAGATGCTTTCCTGCTTTGACTGCTAGACCATACTCCCAGACACAGCATGCAAAAGAGCCACACAGCACAAGTACTACAATCCAATGCCAATCAATGTCTGATCCTTATGACGCTTTTTCTTCACTCACAGCAACTGGAACTAATCAGGCCCTTCCCTCCTTCTTCTGAAAAACGTATTGATCCACATTATACCATACTTTCCCCCAAACTCTGCTATTATTTTATCTCAAAGCAAAGATGCATTCTTCAGGTAGGAGTATGACAGCCAGAAAATATGCTTTTTCTCAATCAAGTTTCCAGAAGGGCTTCTGTCATCACAAACGTTTTCATGTCATACCTCTGAAAACACTACATTTCTTGACTGCTCGTCTTCCACCTCTTCTTTTAACACACTATTCTCTGTCCACAGTAGTTGCTCTTGAATAGTTGTAGAGACATCACACAACGATTAATCCGCAAGTAAAACTTGTAAAGTTGTTTTGATTTCACTTAATGTTTCAACCAAAGATGATCAGAGTATGTCCTCAGGAGAACTTCCACATGTTTCATACACATGAAAAAACAACTGCACTCAGAGCAAAGAGCCATTTCTTCAGCAGCTTCTTGGGACTGTGTGTTTAATAAAATGTGTGCTTAGTCCAAAAAATTATGCATCAGACTAGGCTATATAAAAAAGCAAACAAATCACAGCCGCCAAGAAATAAGCCTTGGATTCGATCCTGAACAAGATTTACACAGAGTAATTGTGTAGTAAATTCATGAGGCAGTGTGAAGCCAGAAATGTTCCCTTTTTTGTACATAAGAAGTGATTAACTTATTCACTGCAGTTTTACACTGCATGATATTCAGGTTTGCCTAGGACAAGAAACTGTAAAAAGTGCAGATGATGTTGTTGTTGTTGTTTTTGTTTACAAATGCACAGCTCTTCAGATCTATGCACAATGACTGAAGATCAAGGTCATGCATATTTAAGCACCACTGGAAAAAAAGATTTTATTTCAGCTCTAAGTCCTATGCTTATGATTCACTAATGTAAACACGGTCCATATTTAGAACTTGAAAGAACGTATGATTCAAACTCCTGCACTACCTAAATATAAATATTGATGTTCAGCTAAATTCTTAGACATGATCTAGCTGGAAATGAATACTTTCATCAGACCTCTGAAACGTCTAATAACTGGTGCTGTATTTTTCATATTTCAACTATCACTGGTCATTTCACAGTTTATAAATTGAAATCTTACACTATCAACTTACACAAAGAAAATCTGACATTGAAAACATTTGAGGTTCTCCCTCTTAAACTGTTCTGAAACTTTAAATGTTTTTTTAAAATTCAGAGTGTTATTAAAGAAAACAGTTCTATGGTTTGAAAAATGTGTATCATTTAACTAGACTGAATACATTTTTGCTCCTATAAAACAATGACAAATTTCATATCACTTTTTTCTTCTGCTTACATTTTGAGATCTGCATGAGTAAAAATACCTCCAATAACTATAAGTCGTGAGCACAGCTTCCTGTAAGTTTTTTATTTCTGACTATTTTAAAAATATCTCAATTTAGGCTTCGCTTTTCAGAAATATTTTGCCTTTACAACTCTATAAAAACATTTTAGAAAACAGCAAGTTGAACAAAGACATGATAGAATGGATAAAGGAACAAAAGAACCTTTCTTTATCTACTTGAAAAAAATGTAAGATTGGAAAATTAAGTAATTAAGAGTGAAGATTTTGTTTCTAAAGCTGATAGGACTACAGCTAACCTTCAGGAAAGTAGACCGCTGCAGCAGATTAAGCCATTGCCAATCTCTCTGCTTGTCACTTTGCCTATAGTGGAGATGGCTGTCCTGGCAGCAGTCAGCAAAACACCACAGAATGGCCATGACTTTGCTGCCCCAAACCACAGCTCGGATCATTGGCACAGCCCACATTTCCTGGCAGTTCTGAGCTGTATCAGGTGAGATTGAGACATTTTCCCACCTCTCTGCTTGTTATGGTGGTTGTAACTTCCACTGGCTGGAGGAGAAAATCTACATAGGAGAACAGTGAGTTCACTTGCAAGCACAGCAATGTGACCCTCAGCTCACCTGGCAGGGCTCTCACTCTAGGGAGCTACTCCTGTAGTTTATTTCCCTTTGTGAAAAGGTTACATAAGGAATACAGAAAGACAAGCTGAAAATATCAGTGGAAAAATTATTTAACACTGGAAAGATTGATTTACGAGGAGACTGAATCCCCTGAAGAACACTGTCTGAGCACCAAAACAGAAGGAGGAGCATAAGAGGCAGAAGAGTTAGCTACATGCAAGAATTCAGAATACAGCAGAATAAAACCAGCAGAGAGCTGAAACCCAGTGGTGATGGCATCCAGGTTCTGGGCACAGAAAAGAAATGAGACTGGAGAACAGTTTAAAGAAGAACGAACTAACAACATAAAGTAGTTAGAGTCGAGCTGTACCATTAAGGACAACTGATAGACAGGGCTAAATGAACAGGGAGGTAGGAATTGAGGCAAGAGACAGGAGGAAAAAAAGAGAACAACTCTTCTTGCTCTACAGAAGAGCTAGTCTTCAAACTTACTATTCTCAAGGAGTTCATAGGGTGGACTTTGCATTGCTGTAGTGCAGTGAAATACAAATAGTACACAGTGTTAAAGAAGTCATTTCTTTGGAAGTTAAATGATATGTTTTACACACTATTTAATCAACATAAGCAAAAAAAAACATTGACAGGGATGGTAAGAAAACTGAATAATGAATTAAGTGTG